TTTAATAAAGTTGAATAATTAACCTTAGGTCAGCACAATCGAACATTAATATGCAGGTTTTCTTCTTTAAAAATATGATAGCATTGTATCTCACTGAAAGCTCTTTAACAAAATGCAATAAATTGTTTTCTGCATTAGATGTAGATAAATTGACATGCTTATCTGTATTATACAATAATCTATTTTTTCATTAATGTAAAATTTATTTTAATGGTATGAAAATTTATTCTAATGTCAATAATCTTGCACTAAACTATGATTTGTTTTGCCTTGACACTGTAAATTAATGCTTCACTCTTAAATTATAGCCAACCAAACTAGCAGATTTAGTTGAGTATAGCCTTAGATTAAACTATAAATCAATAACAATTTTGCCATCACATTTCATTGCAGAAGTAGCAAGGACTAATAATGTATTTAAAATATCACATTTTTGGAGTGAATCTAACAAATTAATAAGAATAATGTACTTACTAATAGGATATCAATCAAGATATTAAAGTGACAACATTTTGATTGTTAATGAACAAGTAGGAAATTTAAATTATAATTTTTAGTACATGTATGTTAAGTTATGGATACGTAAATCTTGGGAATAAATGTATATTTTCTTAAGGCAGTAGAACATTGTACAGCTTACTTATATCAAAGAGCCATAGAATTTTAATATTGTTACTATCATAGGTAGTTCCATGTCTTTATTGGAAAAAATTATACCAGTTAAAAACAATTTTAACTTTATAACCTGAAAATGCACATGTTAAATGGAATTTGAACAGTCCAGCTTATATTGCCAAGGACAGTCTTACATTTAAAAGCTTGAAGTAACAGAAATTGATTACAAAAATAGAACACTCTTTCATCTCTATATATATGCACACATATATGTCATATACTAAATATATATGCATTATAACTTGTGCATATATATTTCACATAGGCACTTACGCATAGTATATATACATATGGTAATATGTTCTATTGTATATGTATTATTAATTCAAATCTCAGATTGAGAAATATATAAATATATCTGTATAAAATACATTGGGATGAGAAAAGGGATTATAAATCCACTTAAAATTTCTGTTCAGTAAAAAACTATGCCTCAGAACATCATTATGTAAGCAAGATCACCATTTAAATTGGGAACATTGAAGATTATGCAACCTTTTTAGAGATATATACTTCAAATAATATTAAACATTTTGAAACATATTGAAATAAACTTAAGTTTATTTTTGAACACTGTCTAATAGGGGTAGTTACTTTCTCTTGATGGAATAAAATACCTGAAAAAAGGAAGAAAAGTTTATTTTAGCTTAATTTGTAGAGGTTTCAGTCCATAGTTGGCTGGCTCAAGGCAGAGCAGAGTGACAGAAAAGAAACAGCCCATATAGTGACAGACAGGAGGCCGTGGGGTTTCTTTCTTCTTTCTCTTTGTATTCCATCCAAGATATAAACCTGTTGGTTAGTGCTACCCACAACCCTTGTGATCTCTCTCTTCTGTAAATCCACCATCTGCATCCAGAAATATGCTAAGCCAATCAATAGATTGATTCAGTATCACACACCCATCAGCCAATGTCATATACACATAATGCAGTCACTCCCAGAAGCCCTACATGAGACTTTGGGGAGCTATCTAGATATAAGACAAAACAAATATTCTAAATATTAGTGTTTTTAAATGCTATCTATAAAAGTTGTAATTTTTACAGGAAAATGATAACATTTGTTCCCTTAATATTGGAGTAAATGTTAACCCAAATAGTCTAGTTTCACATTAAATGTGACGTACTTTGTTTTACTATTTGTTTTAAATAAGTAGATTATTTTTAAGTCCCTGTTTTTCTGTAATTTCCCTCTTTGCTTCTCAACTGTCAAGCTACTGCATCAGTATTCAACCTACTATTCTGCTGTACACACATACACACACACACACGCACACTTTTAGCTCATAGGCAAAACAGCACAGTAGAAGGACTAAGCAGAGAAATGCTACACATACATGGTTTCAGGGAGCTGAGGAAGCAACTGGAGAAGCTGGCCAAGGTTATACATCATTCCCGTCACTCCTCCAGGAACCACCTCTTCCAACAGACTCTACCTAATAGCTTGTCAGCTCTAGGGTCCTGTAATCCAACCACTTTATCCACAAATTCTACCTCTGGGGAAATGAGGCTTTGTAGGGGACATTCCAGATATACACTACAAAAATCAGTGTATTCGTTCTCTACGCAGACTTCATTTTCATATTTTTACTGGATTTATTAGCTTTTATTTTCATCTTTGTATTTTTTTTCTTTTAATTATTAATTTTATTTATACATTTTAGGTATACAATATAGCATTCACCCTTTGGAATTTGCACCTTTATGTAATCTATCTTGGTTCTTATTTTTTCCCCACTCCCCAGCCCTGCCTTCAAGCTCTCCACCCTCCCTGTTTACATAGACTTTGTTTCCATTTTTTTTTTCATTTTTTCATATAAATTCCATTGTAATTTAAATTTGGTGAACTCCTATGGTTTTATTTTTTTATTTGCATTTTTATCACTAGCACATTTCTGGAACATAAATGATGTTTAAATGTTTATGATATGAGTAGAAGAATGATTAAATAATACAATCATGTGGTAAAACGTGACTATTAAAAGATTATTTTGGATACTGTATAGCAAGTGCATTTCTCATGGATAGATGGACCTATTGTAGTAATGACTGCCGGGGATTTCGCTCAGTGGCACTGCACTTTCCTCGTAAGCGTAAGCGCAAGGTCCTGACTTTGATCCCAGTACAAAGATAATAATAATAATAGTGACTACCTGTTAATAATTAATGGAAGCCTTTATGCAAACATTTAACAATTACTAAGGCGAACATATTTCCATAGGCATTCTTTTAGCCTGTTTTGTGCCGCTATAACATTATACCACAGACAGGGTAATTTGTAAGGAACAGAATGTATTTGTTTTTGGTTTGGAAAGCAAGAAATTCCAAGACTAAAAGGCTATATCTGGAAAAAGTCTTGCTGTATAATCCATGGCAAAAAGGCAAGGAGAATGAGAAGGACAGAGGAGGGAGGGAGAAAACAAGAGAGCCAGCGATCTGGAGAGAGAAAGATAACAGCCTTACATTCTTTTATAATCTGTATTAATCCCTTTATGAGAGTGGAGCCTTCATAGCCTAAACACCTCCAATTAGAGTCCAGCTTCTGACATAGATGCATTGGGGTTAAATTTCCAACACATGCTTTTGGAGGGAGACTGTCATACCATAGAAGGCATTATGTTTCTCTTTTTTAAAATTCTGTACATGCATACATACACACACACATACACACACACACACACACACACACACACTTTACCATGCAGAGAAAATATTAGGATAACTAAAAATAGAAATAAAATGAAAAATTGAACAGAACTGAGTCATCTAATAAAGATGTCCATGATCACAGATGTATGTTTACAGAGGGAAGATGTATTTTGTTGTAGAGCAACCCTTTATTTAATAACAATTTTGTGGCTATGTCATAGTTTGGTTGTGTGAAACCCTCAGGAACTTCAAACTTAGATTATTTTTGCCCGTTATCATAAAAAGGGATTTTTACTGTTTTTTTAGATAGTGGTTGTTTTTGTTTTGATTTTTATAAAGCAGATGTAGATAAATCTTATGTGTATAAAAGAGACCTTTTGAAAGTTAGAAGGGTATATATTCATGTAATTATTTTAAGGAAAATGACATCTTCATTAAGTAAGAAAAAGTACTATTTCAATGAATCACATTATTTCTACTTCCAAAATAATAGCAACTAAAATCGATTTTTCTACCTTGCATTGCTTAGTATTTTAAATTTTGTATTGTGTCAAAATAATTTATAGTTCAACATTTTAACAGTAGAAAAAAGGAAAGTTTATCATACAATAAAGACATCTTCTTGAATAAGTAGCACGGTTAAAATGAGCTGTATATTAATATATTTATGTTATTATTTCATTTATTACCACCGTGAGACACTGCCCATAGAAATTATATATCGCTTATTTTTAGATTGAAGCACAGTGAATGTCCAGTAATGAATGAGTTGATAGTAAGAAATAGTTGCTAATGATGTCTTCATTGACTCATTAAAATAAAATGGGTTCATGGAATATTCTGTGTTTGATGAAGTGCATGATATTCATTTTAAATATTAATTTTAAAGACCATATAATGTCTGGCATGTAGTCAACTTGAATGTTAAAATTGCATCTGATGAAATAGAAAGTTATCTTCATGCTTAACCTTCTCACCAAGTAAAATCACTGTGACTACTTTCTCCCAGCTGCAAACTCAACCTCTATTGATGATTTCAAGAACAGTTGCTGAACAGATTGAAGTAAACACATGGAAAACAAAATTCTTAATCTTTCTATACTTAGCTTTTTATGACATCTAAATGTAAATTTGAAATTTATGCTCGAATACTATTTTCTAAAAAGTGACACATTTTAACTGTTACCTGTTTTGTGACTTACATAGTAATGAAATGAAAATAAAAATATTCTGTCTGCTGACTGTAATGATTTAAATGTCATGGTTCTTTAGCTAGTGCATGATCTTATAAAAATGCATGAACACATAGGTGCCTTTAAATTAAGAAAGACACCATTCTTAAAGCACATGTAAAGAATTCCCAATAATTCAACATAATAAATGACTTTTATACTTAGTATTTTAATTCATTAACATTTTAAAATTGTTTTTACTGTTCACTTCCATTTATGTGGTGTGATTGTAGTCTGGTCAATCATTGCTTGGTTTTTAATATTACGAGTGAAAATTTGTCCATAACATAGTAATTTTTTGCACTGCGTTTCTAAACAAATAGCAATTAAAAACTGCAATTTATTGGCATCTGTTACAAATTAAATTGGAGTTTTTGTAAATAAGTCCTCATTTGCATGAATTTTATATAGTACACCTGTTTAAGATACCATTTTATGTCTCTAGGGTCCTCCTGGAGCTGCAGGTGCAGAGGGAAGACAAGGCGAAAAAGGTGCCAAGGTAAAGTGGAAATTATACATAGGACGTTTGAAAGTTTTCATGAATGCAGCAAGTAACATGTCAGTATGTATAAGGAAGTGCAAAATGTATGTTTTCTGATTTTGACTGTGTTCATATATTTTGTTTTCTAACAGGGAGAAACAGGTTCTGAAGGTCCTCCTGGAAAAACTGGCCCCGTCGGCCCTCAGGGTCCTGCTGGAAAGCCTGGTCCAGAAGGTCTTCGGGGCATCCCGGGCCCTGTGGTGAGCATCTGTGCTCAGTGATGCCATTTCGACAACAGTGGTTCTTTTCTAAAATTATGAGTGAATATGTTGATGATGGCATTTTTAGGAACCTATAGTGAGTGATGGCATTTTTAACAGGAATTCAGTAAAGGTTATGTAATAGGCATATACTCATAAAATATTCAAGTATTTCACTTCTGTAGTAAGTGCTTGATAAAATTCAAACTTATAAAGGTGTGATAAAAATGCCTTAAGATCTCAAGGATGTAATATTTGTGTACATCCGTCTATTCCAATCTGTGAATGCCTGTGTGTGTGTATAGATATATACAGCAAAGTAAAAGGACACAAAATTGCTTATAGTAATTGTAGATGGATGTTCTTCGTGTGGTACCATAGGTGATTTGCTTTGTTTTTATTTTTGTATTACCCATTTTTAAAATATTATGTTATTTTGTTTATAAGATAAAATGTTTTCTCTTCTGCAGGGAGAACAAGGTCTCCCTGGAGCTGCAGGCCAAGATGGACCACCTGGTCCTATAGTGAGTAGTATCTTCTTTATTATTTTAAAAGAGAAAATTCCTAAAACAGCACTCTTGTGAGAATTCTTGAAATTTTAGCCTTATAGGTTATTTTATATTTTATATTATTATATTATTATAAACTATAATATTCAAAGAAATATATAAGTGAAGCCTAAATACAAGAAAATAATCCTGACTGATCGGTACACAGAAAATATGCCATTTGATTATAATTTTTCTTTCTTATAAATTATTTCTAAATCTAATAATTAATTAGAAAAAATATTTCTAATCCTAATAAAATTCCATTGAGGGGCTAGCTACTCATTTTCCTAATACAGACAGTTCCCCAAGCTGCATGAAATGAAACTTGCTTTCTTAGCACGTCATTTTAAAAAGCAGTGTTGTCACAGCCATTTAATGACTCACTGACTAAATAAATTGTTCTTTTCATGAGACATATAGGTTGAAAAATCAGACACTAAACACCTTTAGGAAAGGAAGATATTATCATAACATTAATGCTTGGTCAGTAGTACAGATTTTACATGTAGACAGCATACATGAGAAATGCAATTAAGCTAGTTGACCAGCACACTATTCAGAGATTCTTTATTGCAGACTCCAAAGCTACCATTGCTAAACTTAGAGCAGAAAGTGATAATGAAAGACTTGCTGTTTAAGACAATTGCTTAAAAATCAGTCTTAGATAAATAATTTGTCTTACACAAATTGTTAGAAACATATGCAATGTTTACTTATAAGCATATGCATTCAATATCATAGTAGAGATATTTGAACTTCATTACCCAAAATTATGAGTAAAGGAATAATCAAAGAGGTAAACAAGTAGGGCTTCTGGTGCACCCCTGCAATGGCAGCACGCAGAAAGACAGAGGCGGGACAGTCATCACAAGATTGAGGCCAGCCTGGGTCCATTGTGAATTTAAGGCAAGCCTACCTACTGGACTACTTAGGGAGATATTGTTTCAAAAAAGAAAGACAAATAATGCATATAACACTATGGATATTAAACAAATGCATATTTGTTTAAATTGTCAATTGGTAATTCAAATATTACTTAAATGTTTATCATGATTATATTAATTACCTCAGGAGTGTGTGTGTGTGTGTGTGTGTGTGTGTGTGTGTGTGTGTGTATATATATAT